GAATCGTGAATGGACCTAACCGGCTCGGCAATCTAGCCGGCCACATACTCAACTCGCCCACAGAACCAATCTCGTGTTTCCAATACTCATACTCTGTGGAATCAAGTATCATACTTTTAGTGTGCACACCCCCAACCAGGATTCCAAGCCTGGCGGGAAGTCTCCAACCTCGTAACGTGGGAATACGCCGCGTTACATGATAAATCTGTCGGATCGCAATGTCCGTTACTTTCTCTTTTACTCTGAAAGGACATAGTCCCAACGGGTCCTCCAAAACCTCACTGATATAGATAATATATATATCTCTCTCATGCACCAAACTTATACATGTCACATCTCAACAACTTCTCAATGCAACAAGATAAAGACTTTCCGCATGCTCATGAGTTTTGGAAGATAATACTTAGGCTCACGTTGGCCACTTATGCACTTTTAAAACATGATATGCTTAGAATGCAATTTACTGTACAACATGCTTCAAATCTATATATTCACAATGGTCTCTCAAGAACACACAATCATGCTTGGTTTGCAACATATCAAACTCTGTATACTTTCACAATAATAAGATACTATAATTTCCATTGAACGTAAAACACATTCTAGTCATGCTTCTCTAACATATTTCATTCACAAAGTGTTCATGTTTCTCTATTCAAGTACTCAAATAACATCAGGAAGGTAAAACTAAGAAATTCCCAAAAAACAGTGAACTCAAACAATACTACTGTGAAGCAATTTCATCTCTAAATCCACTATAACATGCTCATTTCTAATTCAAATTCAACGAAATCAAAACCAAAACGTGCGTCAAGACGATCCCGAGGTACCGAGCCACAAGGGCCCGTGACACCTGGCCCGAAACGACAAATAGCTGAGCCACAAAGGCCTGGCCACTGCACAGAATCAACTCAGGGACCAGGGGACGGGGCTCCTCATGGCCCGCCCCCCCTCAAGCCGCCACAATGTCTGGCCTAGGCAACGACCCTCTCCTAGGGCCGTGCCCTAGGCCCAGTTGGCCACGGCTCTAGCCAGCAGTCCCCTTGATGGGCTGTTGGCTAAGGCCGTTACATTTATTTGGTGCACACTGTCTGTGCACCAGATTATCCATTTCATCTGCAATTCAATTTCAAGCAATTTCAACACATCCAAAACATTATCAACACATCATAGACAAGTAATAGATCACTTCCTAGCTCAAACACAACAAAAATATATCATTTATACTCAAGAAACAAGGCTTCACAGAGCCAAAAATCTAAAGTGAGAGTTCATGGGGTTATACCTTTGTTGCATCTTCTTCTTGTTCTTCTTCCTTGTGTGAATCTCAGCATCTACTCTTCTCATACACCACTCCATCATCACCTAGACACCTCAAACAACATCACAAGCCAAGCCTAAACAAACCTCAAAGATTGAAAGCTAAGAGAGAAGAAGACCTTAGGATGGAAAATGAATGGAGGAGATGAATGCTAAAACTTACTGTGTTTGCTTCTTTCTTTCAACAGAGGTCAAGAGTGGAGAGGTAAGGGAGGAGATCAGGAAAAACACAAAGCAAAAGTGGTGTTATATAGTGTCCAAAACCCTATGAGAAACACCAATGATTGGTTGAGGGCAAATGAGTAATTTGCTTGGCCAAAAGATGAATCAGTGAGAGGTTTTTGAGGAATGTGGTTCACCAAGCTTCATGAACCACAGTCTAGAAAGTTGACTTTTAAATAGTTTGGGGGTCAAAATAGATTTTTCCAAAGATGATTTCTAAACAAACACTTGGTTCAGGTTTCTCCCGGTCTCACTCAGATTGGTTTCTCAATTTAAAACTTGGTACACGAAGTACCCAAAAATTTTAGGATTTTGGAATTACAATAAGTTTCGGTGTTGAATTAATTCAAAATGTAACTCAAAATAATTTATTCAAACACCAATTTATCTCAAAAATTTTTAATGGAGTGAAAATGGCTATTTTGGAATTTCTTAAAATTGAATTTATAAAATTAAATTTTGGGTTGTCACAGGGCTGGGGTGCGCCTCCCACTACGGCAGCCCAGTTTCCAATTATGTTTAGCTATCTCATGGGCTAAAGGTTGGACGTTAAGTCCAACCCCGAGAGACCCTAGTTGGTCGAAGGTGTTTGTTAGACTTCCCGTGTCCTACGGGTGGGGAACTAACCCTCGTGAATTGGGCCGAGCCTCGCTTTGCCAACTAAGGCATTTTTGCGTATCCAGAGAACGTTCGTTTCATGACTTGGCTATTTCATCGTATCTCGAGTTTGATTGCGTAAAGGGAAAGGGTAAAATGGGTAGAAAATAGGAACATGTACTTCTTGTAGCAATCCCCAAACGGCGCTAATAATGGTTTTGTCGGCACCGAGTCCACCATAAACCAAGTATGAAAGTATAGAATGGTATAGGAAAATAAAAGTTTTATTGCTCGGGGCGCTAGGCCCAAAATGGTATGTACAAAGCCCGAGCTACTAGCCCAAAACTGTGACCCAACTACTAAATAAATAATACAAGCTATAACCCAAATAGTGGACTATAAACAATAATGCCGCAACTAAGTATCGAACCTAGGTGAGTGGGTTGAGATTACAGACAAGAGGCTATTGGACTACGAGTATTGTCAAGCTCGGACCAGAATATCCCAAAGGAGGCAGGGCACACCCTTTTTCTACTGTAGAAGAACCATTCATGCCGTGATTAGTGTCAGAACCACATTTGCTATTCAAGCTTTACTACCCACGTGTCTATGCCATGCTTCATGTCTTAACCCACGTCTCCAACTTCTCACCCACTTTCTTTACCCCCTTACCCCTCTGCCATACATCCTCATGCTAAGCTGCCTCTGTGGCCCGGCCGACAAGAGCGATCGACCCCCTCTGGCAACGCCATAGCCCGGGAAATCTGCAGGTAGTATAGGCTCACCATGCCGGCCAGCAAGGGCCATTCTTGACTGCCACCATGCTCACCCCTTTCTCTCACCTCCTTTCCACTTACGCATGCCCACACCCTTGTCAGTAGGGGCACTGGTGGTGCGTCAGGGAGGGGGGGGGGGGATTAGCCCCCGCTAGTCATGCCATGTCTTGGGAAGTTCGATAAGTTTACCTCGCCAGTCATGCGCCATTCAGCATGGCTGATCACCATCAATTCCTTACCGCGTGCGTATGTACATACCTCTGGTGGGGGTGCCATTCAGTGCTTTGCGGAACACCAGCCCTGCTGGTCATGTTGTGGTTGGAGAAGATTGGTTAGCCTTATCACTGGTGAAGTGCTGGCTCTGGTCTTCCTACTATGCTGCCAATGCCAAAATTAGGACAAGTATGCGCTGCCACGCTTTTGTATACAAAGAATGTAGTGGCTTGGTAGGTCGGTTCTTGTGTTGCCTTGTGGAAGTCGCAAGTTGATACCCATTGGCAACATCGCTCAATTATTTTATTCTTCACCTCAAGCCATGGTACTAGTGCGCTTCTACCTTCACCAGCCACGGTTCTTCCCGATGAATTTTTTAAGCTACCATGCTTCTCCACCCTCCCTGCTTTGGGCCACCATGACACTTGTCTTCCTAGCCCAACAAGACTGGGCCAACCTCCTTCCTTCACCACCTCTTTGGGTCAAGACTTTTCCAATAAAATGTCCACCGTGTCCCATGGTGCAATCAATTTAAATTTTAATTATTTGTAGACTTGCGAGATTATTACTTATATTGAATTAAATGTTCATTTCAATAAGATGCATAGTCATTCAACATTAATGACATGTTTAATTTAGCGTTTGGATGTTAGTATAGTTACACCAAGATTTTAAGTTTAGTTATGATTTTCTACCTAAATATTGTAGGTATGAGTCAAAATTTATTGATGAAATCATTCAAGAGGTCCATTTGGTAGTAAGTCGGGTGCCTATCTTTGTTGCCAAGCATGTAGTTGGAATTGAATCTCGAGTTGATCACGTGCTCCAATTCAAGTATGGAAAACATGACGATAATGTTTGCATGATTGGGATATATGGTATGGGTGGCATCGGAAAGAGCACTCTTGCCAAAGCTCTGTATAACAAATTTTTTGGATACTTTGAAGGGAGCCTTTTTCTTGAGATAAGTTCAAGAAATTCAGAGATAAAAACATTACAAGAAGAACTTCTTAGTAAGCTTCTTAAAAGAAAGATTGAAGTCAGCAGTGTTGATGAAGGAAAAACATTAATTAAACAATGGCTTCAAGCGAAAAAATGCCTCATTGTCCTCGATAATTTGGAGCATACAAACCAATTTGAGGCATTATGTGGAGAACGAGATTGGTTTGGTAGAGGAAGTACACTTATTTTAACAACCAGAGATGCTCATTTGCTGAAAGAATTGAAAGAGGATGAACGTTATGAAGCTAAGGCATTGGTTTACGAGGAGTCTTTGCAGCTCTTTAGCCTACATGCATTTAAAGGGTGTTTGTTAACAGGGCCGGATTTTAGGCTGTGCAAGCTGGGCTACCGCACAGGGCCCCCAATTTTAGAGGGGCCCCAAATTTTATAGGTCCAATATTTAATTTTTACCTAGCTAGTTTAGAAATAAAAATTAAGAGTTTTCAATTAAACTTAAAAGGTTCTATGAAGAGATGGTAAAAATGTATATTTATTGTATTTTAACTTGGAGGTCAAAGGTTCGAAACTTGCATGTATTGATTTTAAAAATTGTGATTTTGGTAGGGCCACATTTATTTACCAGAACAGGGCCACCAAAATTTAAAATACGGCCCTGTTTGTTAACAAAAGAAGATTATGCTGAGATTTTAGATGGCATAGTGACTTATTGCGAGGGACTTCCATTAGCTCTTAAAGTGTTAGGGGCTTATCTTTTTGATAAATCAATTGAAGAATGGAATAGTACCTTTGAGAAATTGAAGAAAATTCCTAATGAAGATGTTCAAGCTAAACTTAAGATCAGTTATGATGGACTTCGAGATAATGATATTAAATCTCTTTTTCTTGATCTTGTTTGTTTCTCCAATAAAGTTTCCGAGGAAAAAATTGATAGCTTGGGGCATTTCTCAACCATTGGAATTCGAGACTTGGCGGATAAGTGCCTGATAAATTGTCATGGGCCCTGGATTAGCATGCATAGCTTAATTCGTGATATGGGAAGAGAAATTATTCGTTCAGAGTCACCCAACAATTCAAGTGAATTCAGCCGATTGTGGTGTCACAATGATATCAATGATGTGCTTACAGGACGACACAAGGTATGTAATGATTCTGTTAATTTATTTGTCTCTTCCTTATTATGCATAGCCCATAGGTTATGTCAATCTTGGTATTTAAGCTGTTATATGACAATGAAGAGATTCTTTTACTCTCAGTTTTGTATGGTTTTTGTATAATTACATTTGAGTCATACATTTTTCTAACATTTCTAAAACAATTCAATTTAGTGAATATAACTATATATATATATATATATATATATATATATATATATATATATATATATATAGAAGAGCGCTCATATGCGGCGGGTTCTTACCGTGTGGCGGTGCGGCGAAATTCCAGAATACACCAACAGTGTTAACAATATGCACCAACAGTGTAATAAAAACACACCACAATGAAATGCAATAAAACATCACAAAATACACAACAAACTCAAAAAAATACACCATATAACTCACCACCCCCAATGGTGTATTTCCGAACAGTGTATGGTGTTTTTACTCACACCTAATGGTGTGTGTTTGGTGATGCAGGGCTCTGTTTACTCTGTTTTGTGTGGTGTATTTTCCTAACGTTGATGGTGCATATTTGTTGAACTATTGGTGTTGCCGCACCGTAAGAAATCGCCGCACCGTAAGACACTGCCGCACCTGAACTCGCCTCTCTCTCTCTCTCTCTCTCTCTCTCTCTATATATATATATATATATATATATATATATATATATATATATATATATATATATATTTGTTTGAAAAGGATATAACTATATATTATATTACAACAAGTTAATTATATTTATTGATAATTTCTAATGAGGTTACAAGACATTGAATTTGTTTTACTTTCCATGCTCTTCTAATGTATAAATCTACAAATCTTGCTATATTTTAATTTTCAACTGTAACTACGTATTAATATTTCAGCTCTTTCAAGTCTCATATATAGAAATAATCAATATAATTAAAAAAAATTATTTCTAGATTATATTGATTATATATTATACAAAGAAATAATGCTATTATATTTATGTATTCTAGATTGCAAGATAGGCGCTGCTGCAAATTCAATTATATGCAATGCCATATTAGACCAGAAAGATTATCTCTGTTTAGCACATCTAGATGAAAAGTTAGATGAAAGTTGAAAGCTAAAAATTTAGTAGCTAATAAGTTAACAGATTTAAATTAAAGTATTTTGTGAAATTAGTTGTTGAATAAGTTGGTAAGTGTAAAAAAAATATAGAAGGATAAACTGAGATAGGATTTTGATTAATGAATGACAAACTATGTCAGTTTTGTAAATTAATAAAGATCAAAATAAACTACTGATTTCTAACTTTTCTTTTTTATTATCTTTATTAATTAAAAAAAAAAATAGACATCATCTACCCTTGATTAATTTTGAAAGCATCTACCATTGATTAATCAAAATTCAAATATCTCAAATTTTCAACTTACTAAAGAACTAATTTTACCACTCTTTAATTTCAATCAATTAATTTATTAATCACTAACTTTTCAGCTAAATGTGTATGTCAAACATAGCCAAAGCATCTTATTATTGGTGACCAACCGAATTCACTAGTCACTATTATGGAGCATTATTAATTATTTATATTTTGTGTTCTTCTAACGATATTGATTATATACCACAATTTCACTTACATCCTTCTATCAACATTTTTACATTCAATTAAAATAGCTATTTATTTATTAAGCAAAATAGTGTATGTGTTTCTTTATTAATTAGTTTGTTTTTGTGTGTAGGGTGTAAAAAAGATTGAAATGATTGTATTAAACTCTCCAATGGAAAATATAGAGTGCAAATACAATACAAAAGCATTTAAAGGCATGAAAAATTTAAGATTTCTTCAAATTGATGGAGTACACTTAGAAGGAAATTTTAAACATCTACCACGCAAGGCACTTAGATATTTGCAATGGAATTGGTGTCCTTTGAAATATATTCCATCAAGTTATTTTTTTGAGAAGCTTGTGAGGTTAGAAATGCGGGAGAGCAGCATTAAAGAATTTCGAGCCCCACTAAAGGTAATTTGATAATATTTTATTTTAGCTATCTAATAACTCTTTGCTCAAAACCAAATAGTTAAGATTATACCTTACAATTCAAAATTTTGACCTTTTTTTTTTTGTATTTTATTTGTTGAATCTATTGAAATAGTATTTTCGATATCTAGAGTGTTTGGATCTGGACGGGTCTGAACTTCTCACAAGGACTCCGAACTTTAGTGGTGCTCAAAATCTTCGTATGGTATCATTTTGTGGATGCTCAAATTTGGAAAAGGTGCACTCTTCCATTGGAGACTTAAGGATGCTAGTTGATTTAAATTTGAGTTATTGTAAAAGGCTGAAGAAAATTCCAAAGAACTTTTGGCAGTTGAGATCAGTAGAAGATCCATCTTCATCAGTGTGCTATTCATCAAAAATAAAAGAGCTGCTTGAAAATTCAGAAAAGTTAACCTCACTACGATGGTTGAGATTGAATGGGACCAATATTCGCAGCCTGCCCTCCAACAATGATCTAAAAGTAATCCAAGAATTTCCTCATAATCTTATCCATATTGGTTTAGCGAACTGCAAAAACCTGGAAGTAGTTTCAACACTTCCTACCAGCCTTAAGGAGATTAATTTAATGGGCTGCAAAAACCTAAAGATGCTTCCAGAACTTCCTCAAAATCTCCGATATCTCTGGGCTAATAATTGTGTGTCGCTGGAAAAAGTAAACTTACCAAAAATGTTGAAAGATGTGGATCTCACGGGTTGCAAAAAGTTAAAGGAAATTCGAGGTTGTGAGAATACTCAATTTTTATGGGGAATCAAATTAAGAGGTGTTCCCCATATCAAGTTCTCAGAAATCATAGAGCAGGTGCATCTTTTTTTCTCTCTTCTCTCTTCAATTTGTGATATGTACAATTCAAAATAAAATTTTACTGAGTAAGACATAAGATGAGGGTACATCATGACCCTGTTTGGTAATGTAGTTAGTCTATCAGTCAATTTTAGCTTGTTTGATCACTATTAACTGTTTGACTTGATTAAACAGTTAATATGAGTGTTTGATTAATTAGTTTTTTGTAACAGTTTATTGCTAAAATAACATTAAAATTCAAAAAGTTGTTCAAAACAGCTTTTTCAATTAGATTTTAATATTAAGAAAGTCATTTTGCATTTAATCAACTATCACTTAATAGTTAATTTACCAAACATCTTTCTACAATCAGTTTGGGGAAGAATATATCAACTAGTCAAACTCACTAACTCAATTAACTGACATCTATTTACCAAATACCCCCAATCATTTCTCTTCATCCAATTAATTCTTACTTTTCTCACACTTGTCTGTTTTTCTTATACAGGTTTTGAAAAGTTCCAAGTTGGATTTCTTTATTAGTTTTCAATGTAGTCTTCCAGATAGTGAAACTTTGAGTCGGATAAGATGTCAGGTAAATGGATCGTCAATATCTTTCCGATGGACATTATCTAATTTTGAATTCGTTGGGATTTGTATTTGGGTGGTGCTCAAACTCTGGTCACGTAATTGTTCATATTACTGCACACTTGAAAAGGATGGTTTCAAACTCTGCTCGGGCTGCCCTGATTGGATCGAATTATTAGAAGACCAATTATTAGAAGGGGAAAATATTTCTTTTTTACATTTCATCCCATGGCATTGGTGTAAAGATATAAAAACAGGAGAAGTCATCAAAATTATTCCCAAAACGGAAGATGTTGAAAAATGTATGGTGAAGAAAATAGGAGTTGAAGCATTGTATAGAGATAGAGATGGCTTCCTACAATTTTTACCCCTTAATTAATAAACTTGGGTCCAACACTAGAGAAAAGAGAAACCTTTGAAGCCCACCTAATTTGTTATCCAAAAATGTTCTCTCTCTCTCTCTTTTTTTTTTTTTTTTTTTTTTTTTTATTTCATAAATTTTGTTAATAAAATTCCAGATTTTGTAACTTCTTTTTGTCATTATATTTACGTACTGCATACGAATATTACGGAGTATAATTCTAATTACAAGCGCTTGCCCACCTGTTCGAGTCACTATTCAAAGTAATTTTGTCATGATGAAATAGTGAGTAGGTGTTGATTATATTATTTTCCTTCAGAAATTAACTCGATGCATATATACACTACATTGTTGTTTTTTTTTTGAAAGGATATACACTACATTGTTAGAATAACTTTAGAAACTATACCCTATGTTGTTTTAGAAACTATAATTGAATAGCCTACGGGAAATGGAAATATTTATGAAAACCTGTTTTGATTTTGAGAGAATAATATTACTATCTTGGAGGAATGATATAAAAATGTACTTATTTTGGAGGTTTATCTCTTTCTGTGTTGGATTCTAATGTGGATTGTGGACTCCAACCCTATTTTGGAGATGTATCCGCTAGAAAACATCCTGGATACTTGATTTGAGGGATAACCTGGTAGAAAACATCCTGAGTTGCTAGGACTAGTTATTACTCTGTTGGGCTTGGAATCCCAATTAGGGGGTGTGCACACTTAAGGTAATGCGTCATGTTTCCACATGCGATAAAGTGCAGGTTGTTGTTGTGTGTTCGTTAGAGAATTACTGTTCACTAAGGGCTCACTAAGATGATCTCCCTGCCCCACTATTGTGATATTGAGATTGAGATTGATACCTCCATACGTGTGATTGATTATGATTGGGATACATCCACTTATTTATTATGATATATTGATATTTGAGAAATATGGTTTGAATTCCTCCCTATCTATGATCATTGACATATATGTTTTTGAGAATGACTTATGAGAAAGTCTATGCTAGAAATGATTACTTGAGAATATCTATATCTTGAGATGAGCACTTGATGAGTAAACTATATGTTGTTATGAATTCCTCCATATACTATGTTTGGGAAATGTTTATAAGAAGTGATGAGCTATATATTCCTCCATACTTGACTTATATACCTATCTATAATGATTATTTGGAAAGTTATGCTTAGAAATGATATTGAGAAATATTGGAAAATGTTGTTTTTGAATCCTCCATACTTATATTTATTTTGGAAATGAGTGTGATTTATGGGGTAGTTGTACTATTTCGAAAAGTGTGAACCTAGTACTATTTTGAAGTAGAGTGTGTTATGGTATTGGTGCCTATTCTATTTTGGAAAAACTATTTTGAAAAATTATATTATATGTGACACCTAACAATTACACTTATTTTCCTAAACTAGTCTCTACTTATATTTTAATAAAGAAAATAAATATTTTACAAAAGCCCAAACCAATTTTAAAAAGTCTAAGTATGATAAAACCATTACAAGCCCAAAATCTCTTAAATTCATTATTATACGTATACAAGCCTTCTCTTGTTACAAATATTAAAAGGTGGGCCTAATTTATAATACATGTTATATACTAATGTTCCTTACAATTTTAAAAGCACAATTGGATCCCTTGAATTAAAAAAAAAAAAAAAGAAAAAAAAAGTGGATCGTTATACCCTGCATCATGGCGCGCATAGCACTGTGCGTTCCGCGCCTCCCAAAACGATGTCGTTTTGGTAAGTTATGTAGGGAGTTGACGCGGTTATGTGTATTTGTTTATAAATTATGTGTATTTGTTTATACAATTATGTACATTTTTTATACAATCATGTGCATCTTTTTTTATACAATTATGTACATCCGAAACAGGAAATTTATGTGTGTTATGTTAAGAGTTGATGTTTATTATGTTAAAAGTTTATGTATATTATGTATTATGTTAGATTATATGTATTATCTTTAAAAAAAAGTATGTGTATTTTGTTATACAATTATGTATATTCATGTATACAATTATGTGTATTTTAGTATAAAATTATGTACATTTTTTAACTTGAGATTTTTTTTAAAGAAAATTAACCGCCAACACAGGGTAACGAAATTTAAAAAAAAAAAAATAAATCTGAAACGACGTTGTTTTGCATCAGGGCGCTCACCCTTATTCTTGTATAATGTATATATTAACATATTATCTTCGGCAATTTATATATTATATATTTTATTTTATTTAAATTATAATTTTGTAATAATAATTATTATTTAAAATAAAAATTATACGGAGTAATAAATAAAATATAAATAATAAATAATAAATACTCCGTAATAGATAATGTGAAATGATGGAACTACAAAGATTCTTTTCAGATTAAAGAAAAAAGATTGTAGGAGTACATAAAATATTGTGTCTTAATGTGAAACGATAAACTCCACAAATATGTTTTCTTTTAGATAAAGAAAAAATCTAATAGCATTCTAGATTTCCTTAAAAGGAATTATGAATTATTCCACTGCTCTCACCCATATATGATATTTTCACTCACTATTCATCATATAATCATATCTGCACAGTGATAGAATCAAAGCTATGGCTTCAAACTCTCAACACCATATCGTGATGTTACCCTTCATGGGTCAGGGCCATTTGATACCCTTCTTGGCTTTAGCGAGGAAATTCCAAGAAACAGCCGCCTTCAAACTCATCACCATCGCCTCCACCCCTCTCAATCTCCAGTATCTCAGATCCGCCATTGTTGCACAAGGATTAGAAGAACAGAGCTCTGGGATCCGCCTAGCAGCCCTCCCCTTCAACCCCACAGACCACGGGTTACCACCCAACGGGGAGAACACGGAGGCCTTGGCTTTGAAAGACATCGGGCAGCTTTTCACGGCCTCCACTTCGCTTGAATCCCCTTTTCGCGATCTGGTTTCTGAAATAACTGCGGAAGAAGGGAAGCCCCCAGTGTGCATAATCTCTGATATTTTCATGGGATGGGCTAATAGAGTTGCGGAGTGGGTTGGGAGTGTTAGTGTTAATTTCTGCACTGGGGGGTGTTATGGCTACGCCGCATATGTATCCTTCTGGGTTCATCTTCCCCACCGCTCAGCCAAGGAAAACGACGGTGAGTTCGCCATGCCGGGTTTTCCTGAGTCAACTCGCTTCCATACTTCTCAGCTTCACCCCTTCATGAGAGCTGGAAATGGGAGCGATTCATGGTCGTTGTTCTTCAGGCAAAATCTTGCACTTTCTAATTCCTTTGGGTGGTTATGTAATACAGTTCAAGAAATTGAACCCACAGGGTTCCAAGTTCTCAGGAACATCTCAAAATCTCCTGTTTGGTGTATTGGGCCTCTTCTCCCACCAGGGATGCTTAAAACCTCTCCAGTTTCAGGCTTGATTGGGAGAAATTCAGGAAGAGAACCCGGACTCTCACCGGAAAAATGCATTGAATGGTTGAATAAACACCCAGAGGGATCAGTTCTTTACATTTCCTTTGGATCCCAGAACACCATTAGTGCTTCTCAGATGATGGCATTAGCCTTGGGGCTTGAAGACAGCCAAAAACCATTCCTCTGGGTGATCAGGCCCCCTATAGGCTTCGACATAAAAGGCGAATTCCGACCCGAATGGCTGCCGGAGGGGTTTGAGGAAAGAATGGGGAAGAATCAACAGGGAAAAGTAGTCCATTCCTGGGCACCACAGCTGGAGATTTTGTGCCACAGATCAGTAGGGGCATTCTTGAGCCACTGTGGATGGAACTCTGTGATGGAAAGTTTGAGCCAGGGGATTCCGCTAATCGGGTGGCCATTGGCAGCCGAGCAAGGATTCAATTCCAAGATGTTAATGGAGGAAATGGGAGTCTCCGTAGAGCTTTGCAGAGGGAGTCAAAGCAGCATCAGTAGAGAAGAGGTGAAGAGTGTTGTTGACAGAGTTTTGGATAAAGAGGGGAAAGGAAAGGAGATGAAGAATAAAGCAGTTCAGATTAAGGAGTTGATTAGAAGTGCTCTCAAAGAAGATGGAGCTAAAGGAAGTTCTGTTCGAGCTATGGATGATTTTGTAACTACCATCCTAGGTAGGACAAATGTGTAGACTTTCCTAGAACATCAGTGAATCAATACAATAAAATAACTTTAAGTAACATTTTTTAATAGATATAATTGGAATCGGTTAATAGTTAGAGATTTTATATAATTTTGATTATTATCTGTTAATTTCGTGTATATATATATTTGGAGACGCTCTAATGCGAACGGTCGTTCAGGAGAGGAATAAGAACCGTTTATAACTGTACGTGTCCATATCAACGAATCGTGACATTTTCGTAAATAATTCGAACTCTGGTGCAAGTAAATGTATTATAAATGCATGTAGTTGGTGTACCTTTGCAAGTAAAACGTGTAAGTACAATCACTTACAAGTGCACCTATTTTCACTTAAAAGCACAAATGAGAACGGTGCACCCGGGAGAAAACTCAGAACGCAAGACATCCGTCCCCGTTCACGTGTCCATATCTAACGGATGAGAAACACTAATTTAAAAGAAGAAAAAAAAATGTGGTGGCATATGTGCAAAAAAGATCACGGCTACATTCTAGCTTACTTTGCCGACATTTCTTTCCAAATTTGCAGAACAGACTCGAACCCAAATCTGCCTTGTCACTCCCTATTGCCATCTTAGCCGGACACTCCAATCGGATTCCTCTCAGCAATCACTCTTGAATTGCCCGTTCACTGCGTTTTCCACCGCCACTTTGCCATTTCTATTAATTTCAATCTTTATCTCAAAATATCTACTGGCCAAAATGAAATTTTAAGTGTCAAGACTCAATCTTTTGCCCTCCTTACATAGCTTTTGTACTTTCCAATGTTTGCAGCTCGCTCAGCTCACTTCGTTCTCTAAGAGCATCCCTACTAGGAGATAATTCTTAGTTTATGTCAGGTGAAAAAATTTGAATGAGGTTCTTTGTAGATGTGGAATGGGATTATTTGCTTGGTACTTCCTTATACAAAACAAGAAATCATGTTATAAATTTAAAAAAAAAAAAAAAAAACAGCACGCACTGCGGCCCCAGCGGGCACGTGTTTCCCACGCGCCTGTTGGGACACGTCAGAGTGGCCGTCAGCCGGCGGCCACTCTGACTTTTGAACCACTTTTTACTGTTTTTTTTTAAATGTCATAATTTGTTTTTTTTTTCACCTACATCTTTAACTTTTTCCTAAGCACACTTACAAAAACTCCTAAAAATCGCAACGGAAATAAACTACTAAGGATGCTCTAATATCAAGCTAAGTGCGGGTACATATCCTCACAAATCCATTGTTTCATATTAAGGCCTTGAACTCAATAGAACTGCCGCCATTTGACCAATTGCTTTATAAGCCCATTGGCTACTAAAAGAGGCATGCATTCTTCTCGATTATAGTCTCGGCAAATTTGAAATATGACGGTAAACAAATTATCAGTGTTACTCCTCGACTGGGCAATACCAAAGAACCGTACCATAGGTGATTAGTTATATTCATGGACTGTTTTGAATGATAAATAGAATATATAAGTAAAGATTAATTAGTTATTTTTCTTGTTGGCGATGAACCGTGCAGTGAACGGGCATACTACAACTTCTGAGTTTGTTTCTTATTGACAGATTGCTTGAGGGCATTTTTAAGTAACCATGTTTTTCCTATACTGGTTTTTCTATTTGTTTCATTTGCACTTTAGATGGTATATTCTCTTAATGTTTGATATCATTTTCTACCTTGTATATCTTCAGAAGCTGCAGAGGCAGAGGATGCTGAAGATGAGATTGAGATAGATGGATTTCAAAGTGATGATGATAAGGATGGGTCTGATTGAGAAATGGCAGATGATGAGCAGATGAAAGTTCAAATCGTGCAGTGAACGGACAATTTAAGAGTGAATTTGATTGGAGTGTCTGGTTGAGATGGAACCATGGAGCGTCAAGGCAACTTGGGATTCGAGTTTGCATCATAGACTCATAGAGTTGTTATCAAGCTCTCGCACATGGCATTGCTCAGCACGCTGAGCAGAGGAAAGTTGAAAGCAGAAACATGTGTGTTGTGAAGTCCATCTCAACTAGGAAATCATCTTCAGTTGGCATATTTCCTTGGACTGTGTCATCAAGTGGAGTCTCGGCCAACTTAGCTTTTAATTTTCTCACAAAAGTTCCATTCACAGTAGACATCAATGTTGCATGGCCAACATCAAAATTTCCAATCCAATTCAAAGAAAATAATTCTTCTTCTTGCATACTCGGTCCTCTTGTCATTAATTCTTGATAGGAACCAAGTCTCCAATTTCTCCAATTGAGAACTCTTTGGTATTCATTCACCAATATCAAATCAAGTCCATCAACTTGATAAATTTCCTCATTCAACACTGTCTCTATTTCGGCAATTCGGGAAAAAGGGTTCAAGACATTTTGGTTTGTGTTGGGATCAAGGTTTGATGTAGGATTGTGACTCATGGTGGGATTTTGGCTTGTGGTAGGATTTTGGCTTGAGTTAGGATTTTGGCTTGAGTTTGGTTCGTGACTAGAGGTTGGGTTTTCATGGGGTTGGATTGAGGTTTGAGAAGCTAAACCAAGAATTTCTGCTACTGGCCTTTTCCTAGCAGGAATTCCTCTCGGTTTCCTCTTCCTTTTGGAATTCAACTCGGTTGACACTTCATGATCTTTAAATAAAATCCGGTTGTTTCCAAATGGCTTTCTAGACCTCATTGGTAATCCTTTTCTCTTTATAATTTCTCCAATAAGTAACCCGAACCCTAGAATGTGGTTGAACTTGCCATTCCTAATCTTTGCACCTTTCACAAAATGTGCAATCCGGCTCAAAATAAGCTTAATCCAGTCACCTTTAACATCATTCATCACGACATGCAAATATCCAATTCTCACAGGTGATATATCCTCCATACTATTCAATTTGCATAAAACACATTTGTACATGATTTTGACTAGCATTTCATACTCTAGCTTCAAATCAGATTTTTGACCGGAAAGATTTGGTTCGAGAGAAGCATTCTCATTTCGAATTTCTGTCCAAACTTCCGTGTGATCATATGTGTGTATATCTAAATCCAACAGTGGTTGTTCTGGACTAGATATAGGAAGTCCAAAAGTTGTGTGCAACTCTTGTTCATCAATGGTGATGAGAGTTCCATTTACGGTGGACTCAATGGTCCACCCAACAACCTTGGCATTCACATAGAAATCTGCTACATCCTCATCATAAAATCCTGAGTATGGATAAGAACATAACCTCATGAGATTGCTTTGTTGAAGTGCATGGATGATCCTTTGTGCAAGTTGAGAGTTCTTGGCCTCTTTGAGAAATCCGTGTGGGTCAAAGCTTCCTCCGGCCTTGATTCCAACTGCTAGCTTGGCAAGATTGAGTTGTTCTTCATTCGGGTGGGAGCTTGAATCTCCAATGGCGGCCATAATGTGTTTGGTATTTTTGGATTTGAGATTGAGAGAGATGAAGCTTGAAAGGTTTCGGGTATGGAAGGTGTAAAGGCTTTGGAGAGTTTTGAGTGGAATGGTGGCTTTTCGACCGGTTGGGTGAAAAAGGAGATGCCTTTACAAAAATATCCTCACAATTGAATTTTGACTTTTAATAAGTGAGGGGTATTTTTGATATTCTAATGATTTCCAACCTTTGACCTAACTAATAGTTAGTTTAGGTTATATATTCTCCATCCAATTTGTCTGCTGATGTGGCGCCAAAAATTTAGATGCTCGGACTGATTTTACCTGAAATAAAATTCATAGAGCACTAAATCTGTTCCGAAAATAATATGTGCATGTATATATACACGTTAAATGTAATTTGGAGAAAGAAAAAGAAATTGATTCTTTTTAGACTATTTCTTATGTGCAACTACCATAAAAAGATGCTCTTATTTAAGATAACTCATCATCATACCATCTTGTCATCTCTTAAATGGTAAGATTTTGTAAATCTAAATAATTTTCATATAGGTAAATAGATACACGGTTAGACATGCATGCAATGTGTGCTTTTTCAATATTTATTGTAGACTTAAATGTTAAGATGTGACATTTTTGCATGAGAGACACATAGACACGAATTTAATTAAATCAGATAAAGTAACGAATTTTCAGATGAAAAATTTGAGCTTTTAATTTAAAAAGAGTTTAGAAACTTAGCTCAACTCAATCATGCCCATCTCGTGTCTTAATTTCGAAAATCTTGATTCACACAGAGGCTTTGTGAGAATGTCAGCTATTTGATTTTCAGTCGGGATGTATTCAATTGATAATTCTTTTTTTTCGACATGATCCCGGATAAAATGATGTCTCACATCAATGTGTTTTGTTTTTGAATGTAACACGGGATTGTGTGTTATGGCTATGGCACTAGTATTGTCACATAATATGTTGACATTTTCACAATTCATGCCATAATCTTTCTGTTGTTGTTTCATTCAAAGAATTTGCGCGCAACAACTCCCAGCAGCTATATATTCAGCTTCGGCTGTGCTTGTGGCTATGAAGTTTTGCTTTTTGCTAAACCATGATACCAATCTTCCCCCTAAGAACTGGCATGTCCCTGAGGTACTTTTTCGATCGATTTTACATCCTGCAAAGTCTGCATCTGAGAAACCAGTTAGTGTAAAATTACCTTCTTTGGGATACCATAATCCCACATTGACTGTTCCTTTTAGGTATCGGATGATTTTCTTGGTAGCAAGAAAATGACTTTCTTTTGGCTTTGACTGAAACCTAGCACATACTCCCCCTGAGTAAGATATATCTGGTCGACTTGCAGTGAGATATAGTAATGATCCAATCATTCCTCGATATTTTGTTTCGTCAACGTCCTTGCCTTCATCATCTTTATCTAATCTTAAAGATGTGCTCATCGGGATCTTGATTGAGGATTTTCCATCTTGACCAAATTTCTTTATAAGATCTTTCGTGTATTTGCCCTGATTGATGAATATTCCTTCGTTGAGTTGCTTTACTTGTAATTCAAGAAAGTAGTTCAACTCTCCCATCATACTCATCTCGAACTTATTCTGCATTAGCTTGGAAAATTTCTCACATAAAGTTTTATTAGTACTACCAAAGATAATATCATCAACATAAATTTGTACCAATAAAATGTGATAATTTTCTTGAATTCTAAATAAGGTTTTATCAACAAGGCCTTTTGTAAAATCACAGTTAATTAGGAACGTTGATAGGGTGTCGTACCAAGCTCTCGGTGCTTGTTTTAACCCATATAACGCCTTCTTTAATCTGTAGACCTTATCAATATCACCTTTTACCTCGAAACCGGGAGGTTGCTCAACGTAGACTTCCTCTTCAAGTAAGCCGTTTAGAAATGCACTTTTCACGTCCATTTGATAGACAGTGAAATTCTTTTACGCGGCATAAGCTAGAAATATTCTGATGGCTTCTAGTCTTGCAACAGGTGCAAATGTTTCATCGAAGTCTATGCCTTCTTCTTGTGAATAACCTTTTGCCACTAATCGTGCTTTATTTCGAATGACAGTTCCATCCTCATTTGCCTTGTTCCGAAAGACCCATTTTGTTCCAATTACATTGTAATTCTCAGGTCTTGGAACTAATTCCCATACGTCACTTCTTTTAAATTGATCAAGCTCTTCTTGCATTGCATTAATCCAATCTGGATCACTTAGAGCTTCTTCAATGCTTGTGGGGCTCCACCTGAGAAAGAAAACAAGAAAATAAAGTGTGTATATTTGAGGACCTTGTTCTTACTCCTTCTCGTGGATCTCTAATTACTAGCTCTGGAGGGTGATTTTTGAGCCATCTCAAGTTAGGTTGTAGGTTGCATAGGCTTTCCACGTTCCCTTGTTCAGTAGGTAAATTGGAGGTAGACACATTTTGCTCATCAGATTGATCTCCAACTTGTGTTTCAACTTGAGAATTTTGATTTTCCACGTGTGAATCTTCATTAGCTTCCACGTGTCCTTCACTATTGCAATCAATGTCCAATTGTTCCATACCCTGTATAATTTGATCTTTAAAAGATATGTCAGTATCATTAAATGATTTTTCAACTTGACATCTTTCCTGATCATTTTTGTTGCTCTGGGTTTCCTTCTTATGAGCTTCATCAAATGTAACATGAATTGATTCTTCTACCACCATTGATTTCTTGTTCAATACTCTGAATGCTTTGCTGGTAGATGAATATCCCAAAAATATTCCTTCATCTGCACGCTCATCAAAAGTCTTTAGATATGTTTTACCATTATTAAGAATAAAACATTTGATGCCAAAAGTATGAAAGTAATTGAGTTTAGGTTTTCTCCCTTTCCATAATTCGTACGGAGTCTTATTGTAAGACTTGTATATCAAGCTTCGATTTTGCGTGTAGCAAGCGGTGTTGATTGCTTCAGCCCAATATCTTTTAGGTAGCTCGGCTGACGTAATCATCACTCGTGCGGCTTCTTTTAGCGTTCTATTTCTTCTTTCGGCTACACCATTTTGTTGAGGTGTACGTGCGGCAGATAATTGATGTAGAATCCCTTGAGAATTGCAGTAGGCTTGTAACACCCCGTGTTACGGCCCCTAAAACCAATTAATTAATTAACCCATAGCCCAAGAGAAAGAATAAATTATAATAATTAATTAGGGAAAAAGGCCCACCATAATCCATGGGCCCTTATCCCTAAACCCAATCCTTTGTTCCAAAAGAAATAGAATTAGCAAGCCATAATATTAGTTCCTAACTAGGACTCCTAAATATATAAATAGAGGATTAAGGGGCACCTAGAAACCCCCCACCACAAGAATAACGCCCACCACCCCAAAGAGCTCCAAGAATCTCCCTAGAAGAAATCAAGAAAGCAAGAAAGCTTAAAGAAAGGCCCTTCATAGCCGAGGAATTAATTAAGGCTAAGAGGTAACCCATGTCTCAACAAAACCTATTTTCATAGCTATGATTTCCCCCATAGGATTTCCCCATATTATTGTGTATTGATGATTTGCGATATTATTATTGATGATTGATGGGATAATCCCATGGGTGATCTTGATATTGGGAGATTCTTGATAATTATGATGTTCTCGATGATTATGTGGAGTTCTTGATGTTTATATGTCGTTCTTGATAATTGTATGGCATTCTTGATGCTTATGTGTTATTTGCACCGAATCTTGTAATTGGAGGACGAATCGTATTCTTGTGGGTATAAAAGTGATTAGAACCCTAGGTTGTATCGTATGATATCATTCTTGGTGTATCGGGTGGGATATCGCATGTTTGTGGTGTCGATTATGTTAGAAAAGCATGATAGGTTATGTGCCGTACGTTTCTCGTATTTGATCCGTTAATTGACTACGTGTTGATCGTTAATTGCGTTGTAAAGTGTCTAAGCATGGTTTCGGGTTCCACAACGGTTCCCGGGGCGTTTTTGTGATGAAAAGAGTCAGTGGGGGGTAGGTGGGGGTAGGGGACCCGCCACCTACCCGTGGCCAAGTCGGGCAGTCCCGGCAGCTGCCCGCCGGGCACCCGCTGCCCGGAACAGTGCACGCCGGCGGGTGGACCCCCACCCACCGGCTACCCGCTGGAAAATACCCCAACCCGGGGTTTCGGCTTCCCCGTTTGATGTTTCCCCGACCCCCGTGGTGTCCCAACGGACTCCGTCTGTCGTGCCTATGTCTAGTTTGATATTTCGGGTACCGTTCGTAGGTTGTATGAGTCTTATATATGGCATGCTAGTTGAATTGGTATCCCGCTGACCTAGGTGAAAGGTGTATGAACCCCTTAGGACTATTCTTAGCATGTGAAGGATCACGCATAGGTTTTGTTATACGTTTTCTCCCCTTTCCCAATCTGTTAATGTGGGTTGCATGTGCTTGCTACGTGTTATGTGTGCGTGTTACCCCGATTTGGTTGAGATCAATCGGGCTATACGGGCAGTCGGGTGGGCTGAGAACCATACCGGCTGTTAACCAGGCTGGTAGAGACCAGTCAGGTATATAAATATTATATAGGACTAAGTTCCACTATACGGGCAGTCGGATGGGCTGAGAACCATACCGGCTGTTAACCAGGCTGGTAAAGACCGGTCAGGTATATAAATATTATATAGGACAAAGGTCCACTATACGGGCAGTTGAATGGGTTGAGAACCATCCCAAATGTTAACCAGTCTGGTAAAGACCGGTCAGGTATATAAATATTATATAGAACTGCGGTTCATTAGTCGGTTGCGATCGACTCCTCCGTAATGTGAGACGGGGCAGGGTGCTGCTGGGCCGTGTCAGAGCTATATGCGCTGACCCTCATGTATGGGCATGCGATTGGTCCTGTGGCGCCAACAAAGTGTGCTATGTGATGAGATATGGATGAGTTGTGTTTATGAGTATATTGGGGGATGTGACTATGGGATTTATGCTGGGGATTGTTTACATCGGGTTATGATTATTAATTGTGCTCAGCTTTATCTGTCTTGCCTGTTAAGGATTGTATACGCCTGTTATAACTGTTGCTTGTGTCTAGCCTTATCTGTCGAGTCATTCCCGGTTTTAAAAGCTAGAGTCTCGCAGGATATATCTTCATGCTTTAAAATGGTTTTCGTATATCTATATATATCTCTATATGTATTGTACTTCAACGCGTTGGAGTGGGTTACCAGCATCTCTCGCTGAACAGATATATTTGGCTTTCAGGCACAGACGAGTAGTTCACTGGAGTGCGCTAGAAGCTTGGACGTAGCTTAGATAGTTCTTCCCTTTCGGCCTGCGTGCCTTGTTTTAGTACTGATACTATTTGAGGATATTAGTCAGTTAGCCTGTGCACCTGAGTTCTCTAGCTCAGGTGTGGCATAGCACCCCATACTCTTGTACTATGTTTTGGGATTCAACGAGATTTCACCTTTATTTTGTAAGTTTTAAATATCCTGAAAATCGGGGGTGTTACAGTTGGTATCAGAGCCTAAGTTTGACCCTAGGATAAGACTCTTAAGACCGGACTTTAGGACAATAGGCTCGAACTCTAAGTATCTAGGAACATAAGATTTAGGAACTTTAGGACATGCGGTGAGATTGTGAAACCTACACATAACCTCCCTTACCTGGAGAAAACTTTCACCCATTATCGCAAAGAAGGACACCAAGCCCCAATTTAACGTTCTTATAAACATTGACCCAGGAAGACGACATCATGGCACCCAACAGAAGACAATCAAGGACTCCAGAACCCGTCGCGCACGACCCCCTAACCCAAATGCTACAACAACTAACACAAGTCGCCCAAGCACTAAGCAACGTAGCTCTCCGCAGCCACAGGCCCCCACCACCTCCGTCGAACGCGAACACCGACTTCGCCCGACAAGTCTCTAACCACCGACCACCCACATTCTCAGGAGAGGAGGATCCCGAATTCTGGAAGAATGGATCCGAACCCTTGACAAAATCCTCGGGTTAGTGGAATACCCAGAAGAACGTCGCGTGGAGATAGCCTCGTTCTACTTCGGACACGAGGCCGATCTCTGGTGGATCCACGAGGGTCCCACTTACCAACAAGAACCGGGGTTCAACTGGGAACAACTCAAAACGCGACTACGAGAGAGGTTCTATCCAACACACGTGAGAGCGTCCATGTACGAGGAGTTTCTCCATCTGAAACAAGGGACAGCTACCGTTATGGAATACCACAAACGATTCCTTGAACTAGCACGCTTCGCACCCGAACTTGTCCCCACCGAGGTAACCAAAATAGAGAGATTCGTATCGGGCCTCAACTTTGAAGCCCGAAAAGCACTAGTGGTAAGCAGACCTCGGACTCTCAACGAGGCTTACTCCAGTGCCGCTAATCTCTACCGAATCCAACTACTCCAACGCGGGGTTCAGGAGCAAATGCGGAAGAGGAACCCCGGAGGAGGGGCACCACCAGTAAAAAGAACAAGAAGCGACGTCAACACGAGACCCGGCAACCCGACCAACCAAAGGCCACCTCGGGAGAATAACGACGCTAGCGCCAGGGGCTTTCCTTGCCCAAAATGCAACAAGAACCATAGAGGCAAGGATTGCATGGGCAAACCCTTGCGATGCTTCAACTGCGGAGAGGAAGGTCACAAGGCCTTCCTTTGCACCCAACCCCAAGGGCCACGCACTACCACCATGGGACAACATGGGGGCACCACTCATCAAGGAAACTACGGCGCTCCCGAAAAAATATTCGTCATGAGCCGCACTCAAGCCGACCTCGGGAACGAGGGCAATCTCGAGGGAGGGAACCTAAGCCCAGAAGACGAGGACCACGCAAACCCCGTGGGAGAAAGCCAAGAAGACGAATTCTGCCTAGGTTAGGTTGGCAATTTCTTGTAATCACCTTCGTGGTAGAACTACTTACTTAGCTTAATTACTTGGAAATATTATAAATAAAAGATTAGTTCATAATTCGGTTCTATTTGCAAACTAGCCAAACCTCACCACTAGAAGCCAAAATAAGGAAAAAGACAAGGGCCTCATCATCAAAGAACCTAGTGTTACCAACGAGAATTGAACTCTTGACCTCCCACTTATAAGACTAAGGTCTTGACCACTAGGCTAAAGGTGTTTCTTGAAACCTTAAGGGAACACTCCCTTGTTAAAGCCGCCTACAAATCCCTAAAACCCACAAAATCCCCAAATCAAAAACCCTTCTTCTTCCTCTTCTTCTTCTTCTTCTTCTCCCTCACTTTCTCCCCTTCCCTCTCCTACACACCTCCCCGCCACCCCAAACACCAAACCAGCAGCCCCATTCGATCGCCGCCCACGGCCGGAGCCGCCATCGACCGCCCAGACGGCGCCCCACCGCACGCCGACCTCACCGCCGGAGGACGCCCGCGACGCCAGCGCCGCCCGCCACCCGCCCGAGCTCCACCCGCTGCCACCACTGCCCGACGCCACCGAAAACCACCGCCCCACCTCGCCAAGCCAACACCGGAACCCAGTCGCCGCCGCCTCCCTCGCAACAAAGCCGCACCGCCAAAGACCGCCGGAAAAACGCGCCGGAGCCGCGCCGGAAAGTCACCGGAAAAACTCGCCGGAAAACGTCACCATCAAGCGAAGCATCACAATGCCAAAGAAACCCCTCGGGATCCGCACCTCGGAGTGGAGCAACGCCGATTACACCGTAATCGGAGGTAAAGCACTTGAACCCGACCAATTCTCTCCGGAATTGGTTGATATGCTTAAACATCAAGGGCTCTTAGATACTTACCTCGCCAATAAAGGGGATACATACCCCGACTTGGTGAAAGAATTCTACTAACACCTTGAGGCCACCAAACGGGGTGACAAAGTAGAAATCACACCCAAGGTCCGTGGCAAGGAAATTGTGCTTTCCGAAGGCCGTTTGGCCAAGCTCTTGAAATTGACCGCCACGGGTGTGTCCAACTATGACCGGAAGGGGTGGATTGATACCCAAACCACGGGGTACAAGGACTACCTCGGGTACCTACTCGGAAAGGAGGACGGGTTCACCTCGGCCACTCGACCAAACCGAAAGTGGCTATCGGCGGAGCAAAAGATATTGGTCATGATTGTAACCGATAGCTTCTTGCCCACCAATAACAAGAGCAAGGATGTGGGGAGCTTGGAGTGCACTTTTGCTTACTTCTTGAAACACAAAATCAAGTTCAACCTGCCGGCCCTCATGCTAAAACACATGGAGTTTTGCAAATCAAGCAACCGGCTAACCTGAGCTAGAGAACTCAGGTGCACAGGCTATAACCTGAGCTAACCCCAGATTTTCAAGACATTTAAAACTTATAAAATAAAGGTGAAATCTCATTAAATCCCAAAACATAATACAAGAGTACGGGGTGCTAAGCCACACCTGAGCTAGAGAACTCAGGTGCACAGGCTAACTAACTAATACCCTCAATAATGTAAATGCATAAACATGGCACGCATGCCGAAAGGGAAACTATCTACTTCTACGCTCCAAGTTCTAGCGCGCTCCAGTGACTTATTCTTCTGTGCCTGAAAGCCAAATATATCTGTTCAGCGAGAGATGCTGGTAACCCACTCCAACGCGTTGAAATACAATACATATAGATATATATATAGATATACGAAAACCATTTTGAACATGAAGATATATCCTACGAACTCTAGCTTTTAAAACAGGGAATGACTCAACAGATAGGGCTAAGCACAGACAGCAGTTATACCAAGCATATACAGTGTACAACAGGCAAGACAGATAAGATAAGCACAATTAATAACCATAACCCAACATAAACGATCCCCAGCATAAATCCCATAGTCACATCCCCCAATATACTCATAAACACAACTCATCCATATCTCATCATATAGCACACTTTGTTGGCGCCACAGGACCAATCGCATGCCCATACATGAGGGTCAGCGCATATAGCTCTGACACGGCCCCGCAGCACCCTGCCCCGTCTCACATTACGGAGGAGCCGATCGCAACCGACTAATGGACCTTTGTCCTACAAAATATTTATATACCTGACCGGTCTTTACCAGCCTGGTTAACAGTTGGGATGGTTCTCAGCCCATTCAACTGCCCGTATAGTGGACCTTTGTCCTATATAATATTTATATACCTGACCGGTCTCTACCAGCCTGGTTAACAGCCGGTATGGTTCTCAGCCCATCCGACTGCCCGTATAGTGGAACTTAGTCCTATATAATATTTATATACCTGACTGGTCTTTACCAGCCTGGTTAACAGCCGGTATGGTTCTCAGCTCATCCGACTGCCCGTATAGCCCGATTGATCTCAACCACATCGGGGTGACATGCACACATAACACATAGCAAGCACATGCAACCCATATTGACACATTGGGAAGGGTGAAAACGTATAACGAAACCTATGCGTGGTCATCCACAACTAAGAATACTGCTAAGGGGTTCATTCTTCTTATACCTAGGTTAACGGGATACCAGTCCAACTAGCATGCAATATATAGGACGTATACAACCTACGAACGGTATCCGAAATATCAAACTAGACATAGGCACGATAGACGGAGTTCGTTGGGACACCACGGGGGTCGGGGGAACATCAAACGGGGAAGCCGAAACCCCGGGTTGGGGTATTTTCCAGCGGGTAACCGGTGGGTGGGGGTCCACCCGCCGGCTGCCCGCCGGCATGCACTGTTCCGGGCAGCGGGTGCCCGGCGGGCAGCTGCCCGCTGCCGGGACTGCCCGACTTGGCCGCGGGTGGGTGGCGGGTCCCCTACCCCCACCTACCCCCCACTGACTCTTTTCATCACAAAAACGCCCCGGGAACCATTGTGGAACCCGAAACCATGCTTAGACACTTTACAACGCAATTAACGATCAACACGTAGTCAATTAACGGATCAAATACGAGAAACGTACGGCACATAACCTATCATGCTTTTCTAACATAATCGACACCCCAAACATGCGATTTCCCACCCGATATACCAAGAATGATATCATACGGTACAACCTAGGGTTCTAATCACTTTTATACCCACAAGAATACGATTCGTCCTCCAATTACAAGATTCGGTGCAAATAACACATAAGCATCAAGAATTCCATACAATTATCAAGAATGACATATAAACATCAAGAACTCCACAGAATCATCAAGAACATCATAATTATCAAGAATCTCCCAATATCAAGATCACCCATGGAATTATCCCATCAATCATCAATAATAATATCACAAATCATCAATACACAATAATATGGGGAAATCCTAAGAGGGGAATCATAGCTATGAAAATAGGTTTTGTTGAGACATGGGTTACCTCTTAGCCTTAATTAATTCCTTGGCTATGAAGGGTCTTTCTTTAAGCTTTCTTGCTTTCTTGATTTCTTCTAGGGGAATTCTTGGAGCTCTTTGGGTGGTGAGAGATTATTGTGGTGGGGAATTCTTGGGAATTCTTGTGTGGTGCTATTTATTATGATGTGGGCTCTAATTGCTTTCTAATCCCCTATTTATAGAATCAGGAATCCTAATCATACTCTGAATAATAAAGGTCTACTTTCTTTATTCCTAATAGTTATATATGTCTAGGATTCCTAATTAGAATATGATTAGTAAAAGGTTTACCCTCTTTATTCCTAATAGGCTTAAGACTCTAGTTTAGGCAAGGGTCCACGGTTCATGGTGGACCTTTATTAATTAATTAAAGGGAAACCTAACCGAATTAAATCATATTTAATTATTATTAACAGGATTAATTAAATAATTAATTTGGGATTGAAGGCCGTAACACGGGGTGTTACAGAACCCAACCCGTCGGTGCAGCCACGATCAGGAGGGAACCCAAGGGAGCAAAACGAGGGCTCAATCAATGAATGCATACTCGCACAGCTCAACCGGCAAAATCAAATCATGGAGGAAGGGTTCTCATCCTTGATCCGTACGACACGCGCACTAGATCAGAGGGTGGCAGTGATCGAGGCCACCTTGGGCACTCGCGGGACGTCCAGCTCAGGAGCAGGAGACCGAGGTAGACCCGAAACCTTTCTATCACAACACCACCAGAAAACCAGTCTACCCCAGATAAGGCAAAAACGTGGGGCCACATTCCTAACCGGGAGGCCAAGATGCGGAATGCCTAGGGGGTGAAAGAATGGATTAACGCACCGGGCTTCGGGGACGAAGCCCCTCGTAAGGGGGGGGGGGGGGGGAGAGTGTAACACCCCGTGTTACGGCCCCTAAAACCAATTAATTAATTAACCCATAGCCCAAGAGAAAGAATAAATTATAATAATTAATTAGGGAAAAAGGCCCACCATAATCCATGGGCCCTTATCCCTAAACCCAATCCTTAGTTCCAAAAGAAATAGAATTAGCAAGCCATAATATTAGTTCCTAACTAGGACTCCTAAATATATAAATAGGGGATTAAGGGGCACCTAGAAACCCCCCACCACAAGAATAACGCCCACCACCCCAAAGAGCTCCAAGAATCCCCCTAGAAGAAATCAAGAAAGCAAGAAAGCTTAAAGAAAGGCCCTTCATAGCCGAGGAATTAATTAAGGCTAAGAGGTAACCCATGTCTCAACAAAACCTATTTTCATAGCTATGATTTCCCCCGTAGGATTTCCCCATATTATTGTGTATTGATGATTTGCGATATTATTATTGATGATTGATGGGATAATCCCATGGGTGATCTTGATATTGGGAGATTCTTGATAATTATGATGTTCTCGATGATTATGTGGAGTTCTTGATGTTTATATGTCGTTCTTGATAATTGTATGGCATTCTTGATGCTTATGTGTTATTTGCACCGAATCTTGTAATTGGAGGACGAATCGTATTCTTGTGGGTATAAAAGTGATTAGAACCCTAGGTTGTATCGTATGATATCATTCTTGGTGTATCGGGTGGGAAATCGCATGTTTGGGGTGTCGATTATGTTAGAAAAGCATGATAGGTTATGTGCCGTACGTTTCTCGTATTTGATCCGTTAATTGACTACGTGTTGATCGTTAATTGCGTTGTAAAGTGTCTAAGCATGGTTTCGGGTTCCACAACGGTTCCCGGGGCGTTTTTGTGATGAAAAGAGTCAGTG